CTTTCCCAGACCTATGATTCTAAAAGAGGCAGATAAATATCCCATGGGGCCTTGTTACCTTTTAAATTGATAACTTGCTTCTGCTCAAGAAGAGCTTTGTGGGGCCTAATACATTAATTATATCTGCAGAGAGCCTTCCACTGCCAGATCTCAAGGTGCTTTGCCAATAGCAGCTGAAGCACCATTCCATTTAGGCAGACGGAAACATTGAGGCAGGGAGCTTTAAGAGAAATTTTTAAGATCACATGGTTTATAAGCTAAGAGGATCTGAAAATAGAAGTCACAGCACTCTGAACGTTAGCCACCTGATCTGGAGGTCTGGTTTTCTGACACCAGTCTCCTGATAATTTCACAGAGGGTTTTCAACTCTCCAATGCGTTTAAAAATGACTTGTTTTAATTTAGAAAATAAATATAGGACAGAGAACTTTTGAAGTGGAGTGTTTATTTGTTTGGAAAAGATGTGGCCAAGTCAAACAAACAGTGACTTCTTCCAACTCCACATCCTCATGATTCTACGATGAGGCCCAAACTCTGAAGTGAGGACCCCAGCACCGTAAGCCATGGGCCCAAGCACGGCTGGCCTTGGATCTCCACTGTAGCAGAGGCTCTCAATGAAAATGTACAATTCGTGGTCACTGTTCGTCTGGATGCAAAATGACAAGGAAGGCGTGGGTCTGACTGGTGAAAGCAACAGCTTGGAAATCAAAGCCTGGCGACCAGGTGCCTTCCAAGGGGACTCCCACGGTCCCCTATGTCCCTGGGGCAAATAGTCTCTGAGAGCTTCAATTCCATAGTCTGGGAAACGCTGTTAAATTCTGAAGCGAATAAGCTGGTGCCCGAGGGCTCTCTGAGCTCCTCAGAGGCCATCATTACATTAATACGTTGAGCTTAGTGCATTTCTGTCACTCATTATGGTGTAATTCTGAGAACTCTTGGACCCAAGCCTTATCTCACTCCTGTCCTCAACCTTCCATCCTCAATTTGGCCATCAAGATATAGTTAGCACCCCACAGACTCTCTTTTATCCCAAATTTCTTCTAAATACATAAGAGTAGCCCAGCAGTGCTGTGACTAGGAGCAAGGTAATCAGTTATGCTAACAAGATGGTCACGTTTACCAAATAAGGGAAACCTGAAGACTAGGGCTGTTGCTTAGACATATAAGGGCAATGGTGTCTCTGGGAGCCTCATCCCCCTGTGCAGACACCAGACACAGTCCCATCTCTCCAGCACAGCCTATCCCTCCATTGCAGACTCACGGAATCAGCATCTCAGAGGTGGGCAGGACCTCAAAAGCCCCTGTGGCTTTGAGATCTTCCCATCTTTCTTCACACACCCCTCTTGGTATGTATATACATAATTGCGTCTATAATTATACACATACACACACACAGACAAACCTACTACTATTATATTTACAACATTATGTCTATGCCTGGGGTGTTATTAATATAGCTGGTGAAACCAAAAGCAGTAGTTTCTGCTTGTGGTTTCTGAAGAAATGTATGTGAAGCAATTTGTATAATCTAAGTGAGCACATGGCTGGAAATGGGTTCCATCAGGCATACGAGCTCTCCGCCTTGTGGTTACACCATACATATGGATAAGAAGGGCCCGCCCTGTATGAAGATCATAGGTTCCATATTATGACATATGGAACTGGATAAGGATTGGGGATGCGCTGTACATGTGGTCTGCATGACGGGGCTGCATTTTACCAGAAGGATGCTTTAAAACCCCAGAAATAGCATAATCGCCTTTCTCATAGGCAACCTCATGATTACGTGTTGGACAGAAAGAGACTAAGAAGAGGCTGGCTTACTGCCTGAAGGAGACTGGAGCAGAGTTCCTTAGTCTTTCTTACCTCCTGGCAGCAAGAAAGTCATTCCCTCACAGGCCTAATTCTTGCCTCAGCCCAGCCTGGGTCCAAATTGTAAAGACAGTTTTGCAAAGAAATAGCACAGTCGTCCCCCCACCACCTTAAGCACTCATTAATCTTGTTTTCCTCTGATTTCCCCAATTCCCTGGTCTTTGGTACACTGCATCAGTGTTGACGGTGACCAGGGAATTGAAATCAAGTTCCCACATTTCCACCCCAAACATCCCCTCTTCACACCCCCTGCACTGGGAAGGCGTTTTTAAGCCTTTCCTCTGTACCACTGAACAAAACAGGCTGCTGCCTCCACCCCTGGTTTGCTTGGCTTCTAGGTCCTGCTGTCTGAATTTTGCTTTTAGGCCCACCACTTAGCACCAGCTAGCCTGGCACGGCGCCCACCATCCAGCAGCTACAAAGAGAACCTCAGTGGTGGCACTCAGTGTGGAGGAAGCCTCGGCCTCCACTGCCCCCCACACCCCTCCTTACCCCACCTCCCCCTCATGGCATCAAATCAAACTGCAGCAGACTTGACAAATCTATTTGGCACGGTTCACTCAACTATTTCAACCCGCACAGCGCAGAGCGCGGCACTGACACACCATGACCAGTGCGGAATCTGCACATTAAATACAGATGGGGGCGGGGAAAGGGGGGAAGGGGGAGATCTGCTAATGAAGGGGCAGCAGAGATCACCCTGCGAGAGAGGGGCTGGGGTGGTCTCCCCCCCCACCTGCCACACCCATGGCGGGTAAGGGAGCTGGTGGGGGCCAAAACCTAACTGGCAGACTTTCCACTTTCCTGCCTTCTCTAGGTACCCAGAGCGTGAATGTCTAATGGGGAGAGAGAGGGCTTTTCCTCTGTCCCAGCTTTCTTTATTTGGATAGGACTGAGACCCTAAAAAAAAATCCAAGTTAGCCCTTGGCTGCTGGGGAAGAAAATTTAGCCAAGAGTGGGAAGAGGAGAAAAGAGAGAGAGAGAGAGAAAAGAGAAAGTATCCAACATGAAAACGTTGAGAAGAATGATTCTAAAGGAGACCATAAAGCTAAATTCAATTCTCAGGAATATCTTCGCTGCAGAACAAATCCCAAGGATAAAGCCAGGGAGGACAGCATTCTATCAAAATGTGCAGCGCTAAGGTATTTCCAAAAGCAGATTTCCTACAAATGGTGTTTTAAATAGCATACCAGTCCATCTGTGTGCTTTTAAAATCAGCTTACGCTACAGTATCCCTCTGGCCTGTCCTGCTTAGTCATTGAGCCTGGATGGGGAGACAGTCAGGTGAACTGCCGTCTTCTCCCCTAGGACCCACCCTAACCCAGCTGCCGGTCCTCACCTACTTGAGCAGAGCTTCAGGGCAGGGCTTTGGACCAGTTCCTTCCAGTTCAAACCCCTGCTGAGACCCCAGCTGAGAATTTGCGTTTCTAACAAGTTCCTAGGTGATGCTAATGCTGCTGCCTAGGGACCAATTCAGAGAACCACTAGTAGAGCAGTGGTTCTCAAAACTTATTAAATATAAAAATCACCTAGGGATCTTGTTAAAATGCAGATTCTGATGCAGTCTATCTAGGGTGGAAATGCAAATTCTCAGCAGGGGTTCCAACTGAATGAACCGGTTTGAAGCCCTGCTTCAGGGTTCTATCAATTTCTTATTGAAAATGGTGGATGGAGAGAAGGTATGAGTGGAAAACAACTGGGGAGGGATGAGGACTCAGCCCACAATGCTCCCGGCACCCTCTGCTGACTCAGGCTGGCCATTCCCCACCGGTGTTTGGCAATTCCTCCTGAAAGAAGTCAATGAGAAACCAGACCTGCCCAGCATGTCAAGGTGAAGTCTTCCAATGGCTGAGCACTTCATTTCCTTTATCTGTGGAATGAGGGCATTTTTTTTCTTTGATACCTGCTAGTATCTAGAAGCCACGATTTTCAGATGAATGGCACCTCGTTACTACGGTGATTTTAATTAAAAAAAGAACTACTCTTAAAAACTCACTTTTGCTCCAGTGAAACAGTACCAGCAATATAGTTCAGGATTTTCTGTGTCCAAAATCTCCAGCTGTACCAAGAGACGCTGCTTTGGGGCGGCCATGGGAGCTGAGGAGACTCCCTTTGGAAACGGGCTTGGGCACCTCTAGGCTTAGCCACATGTTCCCTTTTTGATAATTCACACCCTGGCAGACCAGGGTCCTGGTGAAACTGTCGTACTAAAGAGGACAGACCCTTTTCCTCCCACCCCAATTCCTTTCCCAGAAGGATGAGCAGTGTCTGACATCACATTCTCCTCACAGACCTGAGAGTCAGCCCATGATGAACCCAGTCTGCAGGGCCACAATGACAGACACCGCCACCCAGATGAGACCTCTTGCTGTTTCCAATAACCCCCCCCCATAGGCTGAGGGTACTGTATAACCAGCACACCGCTGCCAGCTCCAGCTGCAGGCCCGCTCACTGCCAGAATGCCATGTGTCTTCAGAAAGCTGAATGCCAGACATTCATCCATATGTACAACAAAAACCCCACATCACCCACACGGACCACACCTCTGGGAGCCGCAGACACTGAAGGCACCAGCCGGGAGCATTCAATGCTTTGTTGCCAAGCGTGATTGCCAGTTCAGATCCCATCTCCCTGACACACTGAATTTCTGCTCATTATTTATTGTCCTCTTTCTTCTCGGGGACATTGTGATTCCCTCTTAGGATTTGTGCCCTTTCATTTCCAGACCTCGGTAACTCCTGAACTGCAGCTTCATGTGGTTTTGTGATTGTTTGCCCAGCATGAGGAAGGGACTCAGGCCATAAATGCTCAATGAATCCTGTATGGGGAGACAGGGGCTGGGAAAGCATTTTCTCCTTCATTTGCAGTCAGAGAACACACTACAAGCAAGCTCTCTCTCACTGCTGTGCAAAGAGGCAGCAGCAACCAGGCTGTCAGAGAAATGGTGTTTTCCAATCACTTTAGCATAAGAAAGAATATTTGCAGGGTAAGCATCTCCCTTGCCTCCATCAATTATTTGAGCTTCACTAAACAAGGCCTCCTCCTCCATGTGGAGCTGAGTTGAAGCTCCTTCTGCCCCACCCCCGTGCACCATTTCAGAATGCCTTTAAGGTAGAGAAATGGATTCACCTTGTGGTTTTTGCCATGCCGGTACATCATCCAGTCTTCACCGTTTGTGCTGACTTCCAGCTTGTAGGATTTGACATAGTAGCCATTCTGGGTCTCCCTGGAAATTGCTCCCTGAGTTGCAATGGCCGTGAGCATTGTTAGAAAGCGCAGGTCCACCTGGAGGAGAGAGGTAGGTGAGTAAGGGGACCACCACTCCCAACACAGGGCAGCATCTTGTTTTTTTCTTCAAAGGGCACAACTGTAATGCTTGGTTCACAACCTGTGTTTGTGATTCACTCATACATATTTGTAATTAGTATCAGTTTGTGATTCTACTAGACCATAAAACTCAACTTATTTGATGCTAAATTGGGCACCTGAATATGTAATTTGATTCTTTCTCTTTCTTGCAAATCTGAATGGACAGTATTAAGCTGATCTTAGAGTAATCATTGACCATCTAGAACTATGATCTCTTCTTACTAAACTATGGCCTGCCTTGGATTCTGAAAGCAGATACTGTTTTAAAGGAAGACTAGCTAAATCCAATGCAATCCACTCCACTTCAATCCACTCCACTTCAATCCACTCCACTTCAGTCCAATGGACTTATGATGCACTAATTGCAAAAGCCTCAGCTCATGGCTTTCCCCCTCCTGTCAGCCCCTCACTCCATTGTATTTTCAGTTGTGCAGGTCACTGAGGGGTCAGAAGGCGTGCAGAGTCTGCCCAAGCAATTAGGCTTATGCACCAAGTCCTGACCTTTTGCTCTATGAAGAGAATGGCCAACATTTTGAGGAACATCCCCCTCCACAATGCCAAATCCATTTGGAAAGTGCTGGATGTCATTCCTTTGCTGGCCACAGTGCTTCTTAATGGCAACCTCTGTTCGACTAAAATTTAGCCAGAGCACACTGGTCACATTCAATTCAGCAAGCACTTATTGGCTACTTACTACGTACTCAGCATTATTAAGCATTCAAAAGAAGTACGTAATACCACATATGTGTGTGAGAAACAGGTAGAGTGTAGCAAGAGAAAGTGCATGACTAAGGACCAAAAATAAGGAATATAATCAATGGAATGTCTCAGAGAGCTCTGCACTCCTGATTATATAGAAGAATTTTCTGGAAGCTTTGCAGAATGAGAAGGACTTTGGAGAGGCAGACAAAAATAGCCTTAGGGTTGCACAGTTAGAACCTCTGCGGACTCCCAGAAGTTTACAAGCGGTCTTTCTCCCTTTCCTGTTGTCTGCCTGTCATGGTCACCTGTGAGCAGAGGTCACCATATCACATTAGAGCTAGGACAGGCTTGTCATTGGGTCACAAGGCTATCTGTCGTGTGTCACAAAAGCAGTGGTTGCTCTAGTTTGGAACTAGCAGCTTGCTCTTCCCCTGTTTATTTCTTCCCAGGGGATGAGAACTGGACCAGTCTGTACTGCAATGGGAGATCACCCAACACAAACTGCAAGTCTTATTCAGAAGGAAAGCAAACACTAGTCTGAAAAGATGCTGCAAAGCATCTGGCAACTTGACTTTCATTCCTGGTGCTGACATTTTCCCATGTGTCATTCTGATAGCTATGTGCAAAAGACCTTCTTGGTAAGGTTCTCCCTAAACAGCAAAGATCAGGAGGAGCTGCCGTGCTCAGCTTGCACTGCAACAAGCCTGCCATTAGGAAAACGCTCCCTCCACCCAGCCCATCTCTAATGCCCCCCTATGCCAAGAATGAGGAAGAAAGACCTGGAACTGTTTACAGAATGATCTTTGGCTAGCTATAGTCATAGGACAAACAGCATCTCCTGTCTGCTGGCCAAACAACTTTTCCAAGCCTGGTAATCTCCATAAGGGAAGACAAACATTTTATTCATCATTTTATCCCAGCACTTAGCACAGTATATTTGCATCTGGCACACTTTTTTTGTTTCTTGTTTTAAATGAATGAATGAAGTTCTTCTATATGATGGGTTTGTTTTCTTTGTGCCCTTCTCCCACTCTAGCTAAGAAACCACTCCCCTGCCTCACCAATACACACACACTGCACACCCGCTAGTGTCTGAATAACTACCTGGAGATACTCCTTGTTGGAATCCAAGTTGGGGGTCCAGCCATTGTCATCACCATGAAGCCGGCTTTGTTGAGGGGTCCACCTCCTGTCCGAGTAGGTAGATGATGCACTAATCTGTTCATTAGCAATCCGGCCAGACTCCATTCCCAGGGGGACATTGCACTGAAAGTCTGGGGAATGGAGATGGTCAAGGGCAGAGTTAGGTCTCTCAACGTCAAACTCCCGGGACCCACAAAACTCGGCTCCCTTCCAGGGACAAGTCCTTGCAGGCATGCCCTTATCTTAAAGACCTGATTATACACTCACATTTTAAAAACAAGTACACCACCTCATAGAGCTTGACAACCCCTCTGGGTCTGAAAGAAACTAAATTGGACCTAAAAGAAACCAGGCTATGGATAAATAAGAATCATAATACAAAATAAAAACACAATTTAGAGCACAAGTACTGTTACTGCTGCAGGCTATGGATGCTCACAGAAGCCAGATGCACCGTTACTGCAATACAGGTGAACGTGAGATAGACTCGCGGCAATTTGGGTGGGCTGATACATCGTGGGAAGCCTGCTTTATTAATAAACACCCAGGAGGCATTTTTGCTTCTTTTTTTCACTCAACTATCTCGTGAGTTCTGGCACAAAAGACAGACATTACAAAGCATAAATGCTTTGTCTTTGGGAAGCCTCTCCGTGAGCGCTTGCATGTCACTCTCTGGTCCCTGTACCGCCTATCTGAACAAATAGACCCAGAAGTCACTTACTTTAGCCTTGTGCCATCCATTAAATTGCTGTCCTTCCCATGAACACCGTGGACACTGATTGAAATTTGTACGTGCGTGTGTCTGATAAAGGCTAGCAATCTCTTTAAGGTATCAAACCTATTCTTTAGCTGTGTGACTGCACGGGCCATTTGCAGAACCTGGTGCAATTTGCAATACTGCTTCTTTGTCACTCAAACTCCATGAGGACTTTGATGAAAAAAACAAAAGCAACACCCAGAACAAAACCCAGTGACGCTCCTGCAGGCCAGGCTGCTATGTGTGTACCTATGCATGTGGAGAGCTGCCCACAACCCAGGCAGCATTCCCCCAGCTTCAATCATGCTAAAGTGTTTCTTTAGTCCTAAAAGTTGTCATTGAAATTTTCTAAATGAGAATGGGAGTATATTTGAAGCCCATGTCCAAGAGGACCTGACTTGAAGATGTAACTCATGGCCAGAGGCTGATGGGCCTCGAATGTAAATTCTGTGACAGCGAGGTCAGAGCTACATTTTTCAAGGCTCTGCACAGCACCTGTCATATAGTAGAAGCTCTAAAAATTAAACTTAGTGGACATATGAAGTGAATGTCCAAAGAAGCTAGGGAAACTTTCCCAGGAGCAGAGATGTTTAACGTGCAAATATATATATATAAAGAGAGAGACTTAAAATTGCTCACTTTTGTGACAATGGCCACTGAGTCTTGGAGAGGGAGAAAATTGGCCCTGTACTAAAAAATGTTAGCACAAGAGGGGACCCTAGGTAGATCATCCTAACTAGCTTTCCTTTTATTCATAGATGAGGAAACTGAAGTTTGAGATCAGAATAACTTTCCTTGAGAGTAACTAATTCTTTGTACACATTTTTTTTTTTTAAGAAATGAGCAACCAGCTCAACATCTGCTCTTTTCTCATTAAACTCTGCCTGGCAAAAGGATGCGACTCCCACTCCTTGGATTCTGACGCCACTGCCAAGTTGGTTGAGTTCCCATGTCCTTTTCTCAGCAGAGGTCAGTCTCTCTTCACCTGTACATCCTCACAGCCCTAATGCAAGGACAGGCCAGAGGGTCCCAACCAGCCCACTCACTCTCTAGTGGTTCTTGCTGAACTAGGTAGTAACGTGCAGAGAAGCCATCCTTGGCTACCGCCATGTCCGTATGAAAGGTCAGTGAGAGGATCCCTGTAGAAGAACGGAGTTCGGAGGGTGTCTTGGTCCCACAGTACTTGCCAATCAGGGGGCCAACTGGACATGCAGGAGAAAGAGACCAGCAGAAATGGAAACATCAAACTCAGCATTCAATACATTCTCCCTTTCCACCATTGCATCACATTCAATAGAGCATCACTTTGTACAATTTGATATAAAAAGAACAAACAAAAATATGTTTTAAGAACAAGTCTGATATTTTTCTTATCTATTAAAAAGTATTTTAACTGACATGGCCTTATTCTGTTCTCACAGCTCTGGGAGTTGGACAGGAAAGGTATCTGTTTTACAGAAGGAATTGAGGTTTGGAGAGGTCACGTGACTTTTCCTTGTTCACACAGCTAGGAAATAGCAGAGCTAGGACTCAAACCCAGGTTTTCTGACTAAATCATATGCTTTCCCCAGGAAGTAATGTTGCTCTTCTTGCTTAGCCATCAAGTCTCCCTTATACTGGAAAATACTTGGGTGACTACGAAAGTGAAAGATTGGTTTCTTTGCTGATATTGACTATGCCCAAGACCTATGCTGGTCTCCACCTGAGAAGTATAGGTTCCTCTTGGCCTTGGATGGTGCCTTATCCACATTTATGGCTATACTGATAATAAAAATAATTATAGTAATAATAATGATGATGATAGTCGCTAACTTATACAGATAAGACACAGACAGGTTAAGTAACTTGCCCACGGTTGCCCAGCTGGTAAACAGCAGAGCCAGGATTCAAACCCAGTCAATCTGGCTCTAAAGTCCTTGTGTTAAAGCATAGGGGTTGGTCACTGAGTCACTTTCTAAGGAAATCCCGATAACTTGGAGTGAAAAACAACACCATCTATAGGTTTGCTCATCCTTACCCAAGTATCTACACAGTCTTCTATCCTTTTCTAAAGAAGTATCTCTAAGAAAGGAGATTGCCTTTCCATAGTTTTTCTCAAATCATCCTTGGCTAAGCAGAAGATAAAGTCATCATGGGTCATATAAGAACCCTAAGGAGCTTTGAAGTCTTTGTTCTCCTTTTTTTATTGTTACTAAAGCAATTAACAGGCAAAGGACAAACTACTGAGAAGTGTCTCTGTGACAGTGACTTCACTCACCATGTGGAATGCCATCCCAGATGTCCAGCCAATCATATTTGCAGTCTCCCTCTCCCACCTGCAAAGGGTCATGCTCCAGGTCAAAGGTCAGAAACTGCAGGATGATCTCCATCTTGGGTTTGGCCAGGATGGTAAAGGTGCAGTCCAAGTTGTGTGGGTACTTCTCAGGGAACCCAGGCGATTCGATGGTCCCATTGGGGCTTGTGAAGTTCTTTGAACAATCTTCAGAGCCTGCGTGTAAAAGAACTGTAGCATTAGGAAAGTGGAAGAACATGCCTTTCTTTGCTGCCTATGTTGCATGGGTTATTTAAATGTTTGGGCCCAGATCCCCCTGCTTGCGAAGTTTTTGTTTCCATTGGAGTGGCCCTTGAAGCAACATACACACATCCGCGTGTCCATCCTCTTGAGGATAGAAATTAGGGAGGCACAGCTGGCTTGCTCTACATATTACAGTAAGAGCAGCAATTGAGGAATTTGGGGGATAGCGTAGAAAAAAGTGTGTGTGTATGCATATGTGTGTGTGTCTGAGAGAGAGAGAAAGAGAGAGAGAAAGAGAGAGAGAGATTGATTCTGTTGGAGAGAGGAACAGAGTCTTCTTTCTCAATTACTCAGCTGCTTGCTCCAGAAATGTAAGTTATTTCAATCCTTAAGGAAGGCTTGCTGATTGCCAGCATGGAAAACAATGTTACCCCTTATTTATTGCTGACCTCAACACTAGCCCCTATTGTACCGCAGCCAACTAAGTGCCCCCTTTTCCCTCCAAGATCCAAGGTGCCTCAGGGGAGGGGCAAAGGGGAGCTTGGGTCTCATTCATGTCATGGCTATATTAAAATGAGCTTCTCTGTAGTGGTCAGACAATTAACAATTGACGTTTTTAGCTGGTGGATCACAGCAGAGTGGTTGGGATGTTAAAAGGCCGCTCCAGCAGCAAGTTTGGAAAAATGCAGCAGTGTATTGACATTTGGAAGGCTTCTGGTTCTTTTGTGGAGGGGATGGCCTTGTTTCTCTCCTCAGTGCTGGTGCCTGCTTTCTTGGGACCCTTGGAGGTGTCCCGATTAAATGCCGTTCACATTCGCATCCTGATGCAGGCTTGGACAGCAGTCAGGGCTCTTAAATGGAATATAGCCACCATATCTCCTAATGCCTCTAGGTGGAGTCATATTAAAAGGGCCCTCTTGGTGCTGGAAGGGCCAGTAAGGAACACCGAAGAAGAACTGATGTCTTTGAATCATGGTGTTGGCAAAGAATACTGAATATATCACGCGCTACCAGAAGAATGAACAACTGTCTCAGAAGAAGTACAGCCAGAGTGTTCCTGGGAAGCGAGGATGGTGAGATTTTGTCTCACCTACTTTGGACATGTTATCAGGCGAGACCAGTCCCTAGAGAAGGACATCATGCTTGGTAAAGTAGAGCGTCAGTGAAAGAGAAGAAGACCCTCAAGGAGATGGACTGACACATGCAATGATGGGCTCAAGCATAGCAATGACTGTGAGGATGGCACAGGACCGGGCAGTGTTTTGTTCCATTGTACACAGGGTCACTATGAGTCGGAAATGACTCGATGGCACCTAAAAACAACAACATGGTACTGGAACTCAGCCACCATTTGCCAAGACAAAACCATGAGTGCGGGGAGCACTGCAATCTAGACACAGTGACCCTCGGATACACACGCAGCAAGAACTGATGAGCCTTAACATGGTGGATGGAAATGCTGTACAATGAGAATTGATCTCATTAAGTTCTGATTTAAAAAGAAGGGAAAAACAGGTAGCTGGATTTATGAGGAGGATAATACACACTCTAAGCATGAAGAAAAAAACACACATAAATACTTGATAAACCAGGTGTTTACTGGCAGGAAATGTCCTCTGGAACCATACTGAAATGTAACTATGTGACATCAATACGCTGATCTTAGCTGCTGCAATGGCTTTATCCCCGCCTCCTGGAGCAGGCCCCTCTGCTAGTCTCTTTATTGATAACGGCTTTCTGGAAAGCAGCAAATGTCTGATTGGAAAAGGTGCCATGCGAATGAGTGGGGGAGGGGGAGACTGCAACTTTCTTTAGCACCAGACAGGAAATTCCAATATAGACTCCCTACCCATCCATCACCTCCGCCCTTCTACCCAGAGTTTTGCATTGGCAGGGTGGGGACCAGGGACACGTGAGGAGTGAGAGCTGACCTTTTCAAGGACTCTTTGGGGCTCTCTAAGTGCCACATCTTGGAGGCTCTGCACTCCATCATTGGGGGCATGGCAGCAGCACGGCAGGCCCAGGGCTGCTGAGTGCGCAGCTGGGCGGCAGGAGACGGGTGGGGCAGCCCCCACCCCAGCTTTGTTTACCATTGGATCCCAGCTCCTGTGGGCCTCCTTGGTGGCCTGGGGATGAGGCAATTCAGCAAAGCCAAGCCAGCTGGCAGGTCTTCAGGGGGCCGGGAGGAATTTTGAAAAGGTTAGAGTTTATGGCTGCTGTGTAGCCTTCTTCTTGTGGGCTACTTACAGCAGCCTCAAACACGGCTGGGAGGAAATTAACTCTCTCTTCACAACTTGCTTGGAGAGCTAGCAAAGGCATCCTGATATTCCCTATTGTCATGCTCTTCGAGGACAAGAGACATACCCTCCCTACTGGGAATGGGGAATTTATGGTGGAATCTTTCTTTGGTCCCTCCCATCCACGGCGGGGGCGGGGGCAGGTGTTTCCACAATAGACATCTATCTAGTGAGTCCAAGGGAGGCCTGGAGAAAGAGAGGTTCTAAAGCACACAGGGTCCTGAGGTCCTGCATTCGGCTAGAAAGAAAATTTCAACCTTAGGTAGTTAAGGCAGAAAACAAAATAAAAAAAACCTGTGTATCTCTAATATATGGCTATAAATGGGTATATCCTCTGGCTTACGTTCAACGAGGTAGAAAACGGTTTTATCTGCTTTATGCAGAAAAAAATCAAATCTGTCTATTAAAGTCATGTATTTGTTTCTACTTGCACCATCTCACAGTTTGGAGCATGATCAAAGTGTCAGAAAAAAAAAAAAACAGCTGAATATCAAATGCTGAGAAGAAATTTCAGAAAAGAGTGAACATCCTTGAGACAAAAGTCGAGCCTCGCAGATATCTACCTAATCCAAGATCCTTTTCTGTGATGCATTAAAAGAATCAAAGGTTAAAAAAATAATACAGTCAACAAACATTCAAGTCCACTCAATGCTAAGATTGTCCATGGAGGGGGTGAGGGCAACTCTGTTGTAGTGAATGATTTCATACCAAATGACTCTGGTGTGGAATATGCCTGCCCACAGTTTTTCAACTGTAAATTGTAAAATAACTCTGCAAGCGGAAGAAGAAACGACACGCATAAAGATATTTAACAGATGGATTTATCCAACGTTAAGGTTGGTCTAACCACAAACGGTTATTTCAGTTCCTCAGTTCAGGGAGTAGGGGTACGGGAGGGGTTAAGGGCACTCCAGGTTTTCTCCATCAGTTTTAGAAAAGTCACTGGGAATCAGGAAAGAAAACTTAATCGAACTAGGGTCAAAGGAGCATCAGAAAAGAAACACATTTTCCACTGTTTCAGTTTCCATGGTTACTTTTTAAGTTATTTAAAAATTCCTTTCTTTGTTTTGCTCCTGCTTTGGTGATGTGAGATCTTCTAAGTCTGCAAGTTGTTTTGCTTTACCTTTTTATATGTGGATAATCTAATAATACAGTACAGAAAAGCCAAACCAGTTACCGTTAAGTTGATTCCAACTCAGCGACCCCATATGTTTCAAAGTAGAATTGTGCTCCTTAGGGTTTTCAAGGCTGTGGCCTTTTAGAAGCAGATCACCAGGCCTTTCTTCTGAAGTGCCTCTGGGTGGGCTCAAACTGCCAACCCTTCAGTTAGTAGCCCAGTGCTTAACCATTTGCACCACTAAGGGACTCCATACAATACAGACTCTTATAAATCACTTCACTTAAGGCAGACATGAAGCTCCCACTCCAGGCACACGCCCACTGTCTGAACCCAAACTGTGAGTCAGTCTCTCGGTATCATCCTTCAGGAGGGCCTTGCTAGGGCAATGTGCTGTCGCAGGCTTCCAGAGCCTGCTGTACGGTGATTTGCGTATCTGTGTTTACAGTTTCCCCTTTCTTTCTCTGACTAGCAAACATAGCTGTGTTTGTTTGGATTTCTTCAGCATATTCACGCATTTCTTTCATGTTCTGTGGATGACGTAAACATTGTGAATTTTCTCTCAGGACTCCAACAATGGAATTACGGGTGCAGCATGCGGCACCTGGCTGAATGTTCATCTTCCATCTCAGCTGAGAATTCTGCACCCCTGTGTATCTATATGTTTCATGTAGGTTTGACTTTCATGCTGAGAGTTGGTGTTCTGGATGGGCATGGTGGTGGGTGTGCCTGGCCCTGAGGAGGCCAGTGGGGCCTTCTTTCTCACTTTCCTCACTACAGCAATCTTTCTTCTATGGGCCATCTCAGTCGCTAAAGCAGGCTGCTCCTTTCCCCATGCCCAAACCACCTTCCTTGACTAACCACTATTGTTTTTGGCAGTCTATAGACTTGCTGCCTCTTTGAAATCCTGCTTTAGTCTGTCCTCAAGACAGCAATGCTGAATGATGACTTCCTTTTACTATCTGCTGTTTAAATTTGCATGATGGAGAACGTTAACATTCACTTTTTCTGTGGCTTTCTGGAGAATGCGGCATCATCCCTTATGAAATACTAAGTTGGGAAGCATGAAACCAGAGATGAGCTTCAGTAGCCCTGCTCGTCCTTGCTCTGACTTCTGTTGGCCAGTTCCTGGGAAGACCCTACTTGGAGCTGTTTTCCTTCCACATCAGAACAGGGAGGCTGAGTGACAGCTTTTGCACTAGGGACCTACTACCCTGCTGTCCAATAGATGTTCCAGATTGTCCTGTTCCCCTCCTTGTCAAGATACTTGACTACTCCATCTTTTCCTAACTACAGCATGTTAATCCCACCTTTACTTAGCACTTAGCTCATTCTGCCTCATGTTATAGTTTTCCATTCAATTTTTACATATCTACTCATACAACAACATCTCCTGTGCATCTGTTATGTGCTGAAGGGTTACACATCTGCCTCCCTCACTGTTGTAAGCTGGAACTGAGTCAGTCCCCAACTTATGGCAATCCCATGCACAGTGGAACAAAATGCTGCCCGGTCCTGTGCCATCCCCATGGTGGGTTGTGGATCAGACCGTTGTGATCTGTAAGGTTTTCATTGGCTGGTTTTTGAAAGTAGATCACCAGGCCTTTCTTTCTAGTCCATCTTAGTCTGGAAGCCCCGCTAAAACCTTTTCAGTATCAGCAGCACAAAAGCCTCCACTGGCAGACAGGTGGCGGCTATGCATGAGGTGCGTTGGCCAGGAATCAAACCCAAATGGAAGGCAAGAATTCTATCACTGGACCACCACTGCCCTCTGTCTCCCCTACTAGAGCAGGGCAAACACTCTGGGTTACTTACTCTCTTTTCTCTTCTCTCACCCCACCACCTCCTCAGCTGAGGATGGTAGAGTATGTGTTCCATCAGTGCTTGCAGCATTGACCTGAGGCTTGCACAGGACTCAAGGGAACGTAGATTCAGCTATTCAGGAGCCACACGGGAACCCCAAACCACCGGGTGTCACACAGATTCTGTCAATCTCAGTGGCCTCTTTGTAGTCAGGAGCACAGCAATACAGACTGCTCACTCCTGCGGCAGACGGGTCTTCTCGGGGCTTGTCCCCTGTGACAGCAGGGGCTCCCCCTCTGGCTCCACACAGTTCCCTCTGTCCCTGCCCCTTCATTTGATTGTACAGTTCTTGTTCTCAGGCAGACAAATCCAACAAATATTTAGACAGCACGGATATAAAAAGTGCTTTCAGCAGCTACCACTTCCTTTCAAGAATTGTTTAGTGAAAAAGAAAATATATATGAATAGTTCCCCTCACACTGAACTCAACAGGCGCCGGTCTCGGGCCTCTTGATGACAAGGCCGACAGCGTCCCTTCTAACCAGAACTTCATCCATGAGTTGTAAAACTGAGGCTGCTGCAGAAGGGAAACACACTTACAGATGGAGTGTGAGCCTCTGAGGCGGGGGAGCAGGGAATCGGAGGACAAGCTTCATTTAGCCTTGAGATAATAAGCTCCACACATATTAGGGGGAGAGAAAGACATACTATTTGGAATGCTCAAGTGTAGATGCAGAACCAGCATCTTGTATCAGGGAAGGGAATGAGTAAAATTCTCTGTACCAACCATGGAGTAAATACTGGCCTATAATCTCAGGATCTAAAGTAATTTAAGGAGGACCTAATGAACTTAACACGCTCAACAGCTCTAACCAAAAGGTTGGAGGTTCAAGTACGCCCAGAGGCACCTTGAAAGAAAGGCCTGGTGATCTACTTCCGGAAAATCAGCCGCTGAAAACCCTATGGAGCCCAGTTCTACTCTGACATACACATGAGGTTGCTATGAGTTGGAATTCACTGGTTTTGTTTTTTGTAATGGAAATCAAGTAGACAACAGTCTCCACCACTTTTTCTGCTCTCCTTTGATTGCTTTTCAAGGAGTCAACTTCATTTGGGTTTAGGAAGTGGGGATTTAATGGATAGAGATGGGAAATATGGATCACTAAGGGGGATTTTCTAGGAGCCATATTTGAATTTAAAAGATATTGCATGACCTCATTTCAGGGGTCACAGTAAAATCTTTAGAGACTCTGAACACTGAAAAGATTATGCCTCTCAATCCCATGGAATTTGAAATAAAAGCAACATTAAACCATATAGTAATTGTGAGAAAGTTCAACCAAGTTTTGCTTTTTCCTCTGAGGATTATTTTAATTTTTAAAAACATACAAAAACCAAGTTCTTTCTAAAAGTTTTTTTTTTTCTTATTTATTTGGTGTCCCTGCTCTGCTGTTGCCACAAACCATGCTGGCCTGCCTGCCAGGCAGCACCCAGCACTAACCCTGAACTTGACCTCTCAAGTTGGTTGAAAACCTGAATTGGCTTTGCATCTCCCAGTACCTCCAGGTTCACCTTGAGCCTCTCTTGCCTCCACTGCCTTGCTTAAGCTTGAAAAAACTGTAAACCTTACCATGTGCTAGGAGTCCTGGTAGTGCTCAGCTGCTCACTGAAAGGTTGGCAGTTTGAACCCACCAGCAGCTCCACAGGAGAAAGACCTGGTGATCTGCTCCTGTAAAGATTACAGCCTAGGAAACCCTGTGGGGCAGTTCTACTCTGCCCTATTGGATCCCCATGAGTTGGAATCAACTCCATGGCACACAACAACATGTCTAAGCCCCCTAGATCCTATTTCCCACCCTTCCCTTACATAGCACCTTATGGCCACACACAGATGGCCATGTTCCATCTTCTTCTTGCAGGTGCCCTCCTTCCAGGTCTTTACTGATGACCACACTGACCTGTCTTGAAGATCTCATAACGCAGGGAGAAGCCTGCCCCCTGCCGGGCGTAGTCAGATGTGAACTTGATGTAGAGTACAGAGCCAGAGGAGATGATGGTAGGCGGGGCGATGTTCCCACAATGCTTTCCCAGGAGGTCTGCGGATTCACTGTCCCCATCCCGAATCTCAATGAAGTCATACCTAGGGGAGGATGGCACAAAGGGGCACGTATGAGAAAAGATCACTCTAACATAGGTGTCCCTGGGTGGCGCAAATGCTGAAGTACTTGACTACTACCTGAAAGGTTGACAGTTCAAACCCACCCAGAGGCACCTCAGAAGATAGGCCTGGTGATCTCCTGTCGAGAGGCCACAGCCTTGAACACCCTGTGGAGCACAGTTCTACTCTGCACACATGGGGTCACCATGAGATGGAACCGACTCACGGCAACTAACAAGGAGATGAAAAGGACTACGGTCTCAGCTGACATTCTCTCCATTCACTTATAGACATTCAGGTGCTTCAGACTGATAAAGTGCACTTCAGGTTTGCTCGTATAGACTGGCAAAAATAGACATAAGAAGAAGAATTGCTTTACTAAAGCCACAGAGTGAATGTTGGCTGGATTTTAAAGGCCGTAGCTCTTGCCCACATGAGAGCAGTAGCATCAGTCTATGAGAGATCGCAAAACAAACACATTTCTTCCCTTGGTAGCACCATTTTTATTTCTATCATGATCTCTCTGAATCTCAGTCCCTTTTCTTAGCTCTGTGTCCTGTCCTTACACTTTACTTCACCCCTTTCTGCCTCAATTATCTTATCTGTAAGATCAGGATAGGATGAAGGTTGGGATTGGGGATGGATGAGAAAATATATGTAAGGTGCTCGGCACTGTGCCAGGCACACGGGAGGTTTTAGAGACACTCCTTTGTTGTCCCCTCTTTAAATCTTCTCCTGGGCCATCCTCTCTCATCTTTCTTTCCTAGTGACAATGACTCCTCAACTGCGGGCCACCTCCCTCCCTGAGATGACGCTGCAAAGTTCACATCAGCAATGTCTAGTCAACAACATGTTTTTAAAAGGAATCAGCATATTAGATAAGGCCATAAATACCTCTCTCCAAAAGCTGGGGGTGAATCCCCAGGGACCCAACAACTCTGAGCACATAACTATTAGCCTCAGCAAGAGGCGGAGCAGGCTGCCTCCCTCAACTGAGGTCTGTATTAATTTCTTAAAGTCGAATTGGCCGGGGGCAAGGGGGCCGGCCACCTTGAAGACATCCCTGGCTAGGTGCATGGGATGGCGCACACAGAATGCACCATTTTATCTTTGCAGACACACATTTTTCATCCTTGGTATGTGCTCTGGCAATCTTCATGGTGCTATATTTGTGTTCCCCTTCTCAGCCCCCAGTTAATACTCCTGTCACAACTGCTTAGGTGGGAAACTTCTTCCCCACCAGCTCCCTCCAAATTGCTGGCCACGGTAACATTATTTACTGAAAACCATCCATCTCCCTCTCCCTCCCTCTCTGTTTATTTATTTTGAATCAACCTGTTAAAACAACATGTAACAAATCTCTTCATTAAGGGTAAGGAGAGGGGTTAGAAATGCTACCCTCCTTCAGATGCTGCCCGCCTGCTCCTGTCACACACACAGGGGCTGTGGGAGCTGGCTGCCTGCAGGAGAAATGGCTTGTTTAAGCCTCAGTGGCCTGAGGTCTCACTTCAGCCCCCGGGAGCCATATTTCAGATTGCTCAGCCACTTCCAAATAAATAGGCCTGCAAAGGAAGTATAAGGAGTAGACCAGCATGAGTTCATTCTTAGACCCCAGAGGGCTGGAATCCTACAGTCAAAAGAAGCGCTGAAGCAGGTTAAAGTCTGGGCAAGATGAGATTGGCAATGCTTTCCCCAGGAGCTCTGAAGAGACGGTCAGAGATGGAGAAAGGCATTGGGGGTGGGGGAATCTGTTTAGGTCTGCGATTTCAGTGTGGGAGACAGTGCTGAGTTTCAACGTGTGCCTCCTCACTTTCAAAACAAAAGTGAAAGAAGCTTAGCTCATTCTCGGGAAAAAAAAACTCCGAACCTTCTGGAAAATCCCTCCTTGCTATTTCCACATGAGGTGGTTATGGCTGCCCACTCACTCTCTACTGAGTAATAGTGATGCCCCAACAACGTCCTCAAAGGTTGAGAGGCACCATCACCTGTATTCACTGATCAAACTTCATCAAATTCACCCGGAGTAGGGAATTCAGTGCCCTGGGCAGAGGAGCCCCAATTCTAGAATTAGACAGAGCTGAGTTTAGACCCTAGCTCTGCCACTTTCAAGCTGGGTGCCCTAAGGCAAGATACTTAACATTTCTGAGCCTCAGAAAGGTGGTAATAAGAGTAAACTGGGGGTATGCACAGCCTGGTACTTAGTATGTGCCTAATAAATGTTAACGGTTTTTCAGAGTATTATAACCAGTTGCTGTTGAGTCGATTCTGACTCATAGCAACCCCATGTGTGTCAGAGTAGAACTGTGCTCCATAGGGTTTTCAATGGCTGATTTTTTGGAAGTAGATCGCCAGGCATTTCTTCCAAGGCACCTCTAGATGAACTGGAATCTCCAACCTTTCGGTTAGCAGCCTAGCACATTAGCCATTTGCCCCACCCAGGGACTCACACCTGTTTCAGAGAGGAAGCGGCTGGGCCATGGGCAGCAGAAGCGACTTTCCTCTGAGACAGACTGAGTGAGCGGAGGTACAGGATATGCACCAGTATAAATCTGTTCAAACATCTGGGAGGGCATTTTGGCAAAATGTAACAAACCTAACATGCATATACCCTTTAATCAAGCAATCCTACTTCTAGGAATTTTTCCTACGAAAATAATCAAGACAATTTTGCAAAGATACATCTACATCTTTGTTTATAAAAGCATATAGAAAGTAAACAGATGCTTTCTTTATAATAGCACAATGTCTAAATGTCCAATAATAAGGGGCTGGATAAATAAATTTTCATATATTTAGAAAATATAATCTCTGCATTTATAATAAATAGTTCTGCAGGTCTATATTTTTTAATAGAAAAATGCCCATGATACATTATTAAGTTAAAAAAAGCAGATTAAAAATTTGTGTACATATATGCCATAGCCACCCCATATAACAGAGCAGAACTTCCCTATAGTGCTTTCTAGGTTGTAATCTTTGCAGAAGCAGATCTCTATGAGTTAAAATCGACTCAGCAGCACCTAACAACAACCAACAAACATACATATATATAAATACATAATACACACACGCACATACACATATATGTATATAAGCATCTATTATGTGTGGTATGTATGTGTGTGTGTTTTTCTTACATGTCAGTACAGAAAAAAGCCTGGAAAACGATACACTAAAATATTAACACTGGTGACATCTGGGTGATGGAAAATTGGTAATTTTTACTTTCTTCTGTGTTCTTTTCTGTTATCTGAACTGTTTACAATAAACCTGCATTTATTTAATAAACCAAAAATATATAAAGGTGCTTCTATTAAAATACGTTTTAAAGGAGAAGAGCTGAGAAAAATAATTCAGCCCTCATAACTGAGCAGATGAAGAAGTAAGCTCACCATCAGCATCACCACTGTCATCAATCACCTCAAAGAGTCAGAGTGAAGATTAAATAAGACACAGGGCCTCAAAGCACCGAGAATAGGGCCAGGTACATGGCACATGCTCAATAAATACTTTAAAAAACATTTTTTTTTTAAAAGATCACCAGGTAGCTCCAGTCTTTGTGTTATCAATTTCTTTAGGAAATTCAGGAAGGACAAAGAAAAGCCTTGGCATCCCTCTGGCTTCTTCATCCGAAGTGGGAGGATTTTATCTGGTTGCCTAATTGCCCACAGAGAAATTTAGGGGATTAAAAGAATCAACAATGTGGCAGGGCTGCCCAACCTATGTGCCATCTACAAGCCTGCCTCAGTTTACTCAATAGATGTTGTTGTGTGCCATCGATTCTGACTGTCATGGACTAAACTATGTCCCCCTAAAATGTGTGTCAACTTGGTTAGTCCATGATACCCAGTATTGTGTGATTGTCCACCATTTTGTCATCTGATGTGACTTTCCTATGTGCTGTAAATCCTACTTATATGATGTTAATGAGGTGGGATTAGCGGCAGTCATGTTAATGAGGCACGACTCAATCTACAAGATTAGGTTGTGTTTTAAATCAATCTCCTTTGAGATATAAAAGAGAGAAGCCAGCAGAGAGACATCAGGACCTCATACCACCAAGAAAGTAGTGCTAGGAGCAGAGTGCATCCTTTGGACCTGGGGTCCCTGCACTGAGAAGCTCCTAGACCAGGGGAAGATTGATGACAAGGACCTTCCTCCAGAGCCAGCAGAGAGAGAAAGCCTTCCCCTGGAGCTGGTGCCCTGAATTTGGACTTCTAGCCTACTAGACTGTGAGAGAATAAATTTCTTTTCGTTAAAGCCACCCACTTGTGGTTATTTCTGTTATAGCAGCACCGGATAACTAAGAACTGATTCATAGAGACCCTACAGGACAGAGCAGAACTGCCCCATAGGGTTTCCTAGGCTGTAATCTTTACAGGAGCAGATCGCCAGGCCTTTTCTCCCGAGGAGCAGCTGGTGGGTTTGAACCTTGGACCATTCTGTTATCAGCTGAGCACAAAACCATTGTGCCACTGCCTCAAATCCTTTTTTGTAATGTGGCCAGCCACAAATACATCCTGACGTATCTACAAATGCATATAGTGAAAGGATGCATTTTTTTAAGTTTCATATAAATCAATCTTACTAAAAATTTTCTCTCAGAGCTTGTTATTTAAAAGACCTCTTTGGTGAATCCTTTTGTGAAGCAAATAATCAGCCCTTACTTGGACTTCTTAGAAAAACTAGATTTTCCTATCAGGTTTGCTTAAGGGGAAAGGGACTCTGACATCCCCTTCCCTCCAATGCCCTGATTCTGCCCTGCAGACAAGCCCCACTTAACCACATGATCTCCTGGCTGGGCTTTTTGTACAAAGGGTACACTCCAATGACATGCTGACTTCATACAGAATGTCTCATTTACCTCCTGTGTGACTAACTCATTTGGGGAAATTTTTTATTATTAGGGATTTGCTACAGCTGGAGTAAATCTCCTTAGAAATTTCAGTGTTGTCAGGTTAATTTGTGAAGAGCTAGGAAGA